TTTTTTCAATTGGATAACATTGCATGACAAAAAAAGACATTCTCATAAAAGCGATTAAATTTTTTTATTAAATGTTATTTGTATTATTTTCTTTCTTTTTTTTTTTTTTTAAATGAGTTTGTTTTTTCTTTTAACGTACGAATGCACAGTTTGGTATTTAGAATTGGTTTTTGCAGGAGCAGTCACTATTGACGCTTTTGTTTATTTTCACGCCTCACGCAGATTGCAGCTCGACAAATCGAAAAAAAAACACCCCATCAACCGCGAGAATTTGATTTTCCGCCGCGTTTCGCAGGCAAAGCTTGAAAAAAAAAAAAAAAAAAAAACAGTGGGTCCGCGTATATTCTCGGGCCAATTAATCAAAGCGGTTCCGCAACGAAAATCCCCACTAAACGAAAAAAAAAGAAAAAAACAGAAACTCCCGGCCGCGCGAGGGCTCCGGCTTTTTTTATCCAGCGCGAAAAATGAAAATAATCTAAAGCGGAAGTGAAAAAAAAAAAAAAAACGAAATTTGGCGTCTTTTCGTATAATTATATATACGGAAAAAATAGGTTGAAATGAAAAGAAAAAAACAGAAACTCCCGGCCGCGCGAGGGCTCCGGCTTTTTTTATCCAGCGCGAAAAATGAAAATAATCTCGAGCGGTTGTTTTTTCCCTCCCTCCCCGCATTTATTTATAAACATATATATAGATCAATCATGCCGAGTTTTTTTGGCAAATTCGTCTATTAATGCCCGAGCCGAGCTATATATATATATATTTTGTGTTGTAGTATGTGGACACTCACGGGATATTTGCCCGTGAGGGCTTCGGGGTCCAAGCCCTTTTTGAGGGCCTTGTGCCTGAGCTGCTGCTTTTGTCGCTCCTTGAGTTCCTTGAGCTGTAATTTTGTATTTTTTTTTATTTTTTTTTTTCAATTAAAAAATGTCTTTACGTGCGCGTACTTGTCACGAGGAAAAGGGACTCACATCGTAGTCCTGGCGCTTCTGGCGCTCCTCAAGATCGTACTTTTCGGTCTCAAGTTTGACGATGGCCTCCCAGAGCTCGGTCGCTTTGTTGCGCAGCTTGTCGATGTTGAGGTTCTCGATTTCCAAGGGCTTGATGCGGATGCTCAGTGATATTTTCTTCTCCTCCTCGAGCTGCTCTTTCGTCTTGTTGCGTTCGAGCTGTGCTGACGTGAGGTTGCCCTGTACGTAACACGAGTGGACATGAAAAATGTGTCAAATATCGTTATCGGATTTTTTAAGGTGTGTCGTAGGACTAACAGATAGGTCTTTCTTCTGGATGGTGAAGTTGGGGCCTTTCTTGCTCGCTTGGTCCTTCATCGCCTGCATCATGGCCTGGCGCTTCTTCTCCGACTCCTCCAGGCGTCTCCTCTTCTCCTCGATATCCCGTTGTTTCTTCTCCTCTGCAAATCACCACGGTTTCACCACCATCGACTTGACGATGTATATTTACAAGTTGGACAATAATAAAAGGGACACGTTACCGATCTCACGTTGGCGGCGCTCCTCCTCCTCCTTTTTCTTTTGGGCCAGTCGCTTCTCCTCCTCGGCGCGCGAGATCTTGCGCTTCGCTTGCTTCTCCTGTTTCAACGATGGTTAATCCAGTGAGCCATAGAGAGAGAGAGAGAGAGAGAGAGAGAGAGGGGGGAAAAAAAAAGTAAGAAAAACGCACCTTCAGCCGCTTCAGCTCCTCTTCCTCCTTTGCCCTCTGTTTTCTCCATTCCGCGATATATTCCTTGAGCTGCTCGTCAAGATCACTCCTCTTCTGTTCTTGTCTCTGCAAAACGAGGTCACTCGTTTTCAATCCATTCTTTCTCCCTTGCATAATTATATCGTAGGAAAAATTGCAAGTCTCACCTTCATAAACTCCGGATTCTCGCCGGATTCCCTGATGCCGCGACGAAGCGAAAACAACAAAAGTACATGTCTCTTTAGTTTCCCAGCACGGCCACTTTGACCTTACAGCTCTTTCTCGCACTACAGCCATCATATGTACACGTGTATAAACGCTGCATCCGCTTATATACTACTGTCCGTCCGCCTTTCATACTCCTTCCTTATTTCCTCCATTTCTTCCCTCATCTTTATACGTACTCGTATAATATTTTCTCAGCGGCGCGGACAAGCGGACGTAACGCGCAGCAAATGCGTGTATACACACATAACATACATAATATACGGCCACACAATAGACAGACACATCAGCTTTTTGCTTTTGCTTTTTTTTTTTTTTTTTTTTTTTTTTTTTTTTTTTTTTTTTTTTTTT